ATTAATCTTTTCTTGTTTCATGGTGTGACATCTAAACAGTTCTCCTTTTCTATGGTAGATTGAGGACGTTTGGTGGAAGGGCATATCTTGATGGGAGGGGAAGAGTCAGTCTCCCATTCCATAAGACACTATGCTTTTAAGTTCTGATAATGACACAGTAAGGTACAGGAAAATGAACTTCTGTTTCACTAGGACTGTATTAGCATGCTGTAGCTACTTGCACAAAACAAGCCATTCTAGGGAATGGATAAATCTTTCAGAAAGCTATGGGGTAGGATTCAGTAATCCTAAGGTTTTTCTTTTCCAATCTCTTCTACTTGGTAAAATGTTACCTAGCATGACCTTTGGAATTAGATAGGCATCCCTGGCTGTGTTACATTGAACATGTGGTTTGGCCATTCTGGGCTTTAGAGTCTGTGTTTGTAAAATGGATTGCAGTAGCTAGAAGGAGTCATAGCCTTACAATTCAAGCTAAAAACTCAAAATTTTCCAGGAAATAGTGTTTAGTTAGGTATTCCTCCATTGACAGTCCAGGAGAACTTCAATGATAAAATTTGAAGTGACTGTTACTGTGTGGAAATTCACAGGTAGCATGTTCAGAATCTCATTGGTGATCTTTTGGGAGATCTTGGCAAATCTCTGTTTAAGTTAAGAATTTCATGACTCCACAGAGATAATTAGCAAAGGCAGAGATACGAGCTCACACTTAAAAAGTGGCTTGGCTTTCTAAATTCACCTGGGATGAGGTTAATACAAGGAAATGTCTGTTATCTCAGGGTGGGCTACTGTTAAGAAACATTAGTAAATTTTTTTTTAAATAGAAAAGTCCCCCTCCTATACATGAATATTTGGTTTGCTTTTGGGATTAAAGAGGAAGCTATGTGCTAATGTTCATTCAATTTTAGGGTAGCCACAAAGGTGTTTAATGAATGTGAAATGCTAGTTACACAATTATGAAATGAATCTGTGATGAGAATACTGGGTACGTGATAAAACAGTTCCAGAGGCACATCACCTGGGATATTAGATTGCTTTCTAGAACATCAGCAAACAGTTCAAAATTAATGTAGCACACCATGCAATTTGCCATATTGCTATAATAGCCTGATATTTGTTTCTTTGTTATGTAAAACCTAATTAGTTAAAGGGCAAATCAAATGAAACTTTTATTGGGAGATTTAGAAGTATTAAGGCAAAGGAAAAAGAGAAACAAACATATACTGTGACTCTCTGGATAGCATGAACATGATTATTAATAACCCCGGGGTGGGAAAGAGATTAACCTTGTTATTTTCCGCACAATCCAGCTTTATACGATAAATCAGTACAGCACAAAAATATTTGGATGCTGCATGGAAAACAAATTGTACAAGGTCTCCAACTGGCATCAAATATTTTCTAGTATGAAAACATCTCTGGGCTTACTCAACAGGCTGATGGATCCCTGCAGGTAGTGCTTCCCTGTTTAACAGTCATGCCAATTAAATAAAATTAGGGATAAATTTCTCAATTCTGTGATGAATCCAATGTGCATTCTATGAGTAAACATGAAATGTAATATTGCCCTTAAGGGAACTGTCATTTCAAGTTCAATAATTTGGAGTGGTGGAGGGACTGCCAACTCCTTCAACATTGTTCTATGGTTTATATGCCATCTCTTCAGTTACTTGAAAATAATTTAAGAAAATAACCTATAATTGGGTTCACAACATGCTTTAATTTGTTGATATGAAATATTGCTATTTACTTTAAAATGAGAAATTTTAAATGATCTTTCAGATGGGATCCTTCATGTCATGGATTGTCTACCTGCAGCCTCTGACTCTTCTTTCACCTGCTTTTATAAGAAGTGGTAGTTACTCACTGAAGGCTGTTTGTTGTTGGGCCAATTCTTGCTGTTCTAATTATGGTCTTTATGATACATTGTTTAATCTAATTAGTAAAATAATTCATTCTACAGGACTAAGGACTAGATAATATATGTTAAGAAGTAATGATTAACTTATCATTTAGACAAAAACACCCACAAGAAGCCAACAATAACTTTGGACCATTGGCTTTAGCAAATGTTCACTTGGATAAAACTGTGAATGGTTACTTTTAAATGAGGAATGCATTTCATTTTAAAAAGGAAACTAGAATGAATAACGACCACACCAGAGTAAAAACAAGGATCATAAGGCTCAACTGTCTCTAGATCTATTTTGGGATTCATTAATTGCTGACAATATCACCAGTTTGTATTTGTCCAGCCATGCCAAAACCACATTAAAACGACAGGATTTTAAATCAAGTATCCTTGGAATGATTGAGAACTTGTTTCCTAATAGACAACAGCAGGTACAAATGACCTTAATGGGAACTTTGCTTCAGAATATTTGTAGCAGATGAACGGAAAGGATGACCACTCTGTCCATGCTTTTGAACCTTAATATAGACCTGACAACTTGAGATCCATATTCGAATCTATTAGAGGTTCCAGAACCTTTAGCCATTTTGCATACAGTATATGCATGTGAACTTATTGTTACATACATCAATAATTCACATCAATAATATACATCATTTATTTTCCTTGGGAAATGTTTTGATGATCAGAGTGGGTCTCATGAGTGTTACTTCTGTCATAATGGTAGCTTCCTGTGCAGCTGGTGCAATTATATTCATTGATTCCTTCTTTGGGGTTAAGAGGAAAGCTCTGTCAAACACCCAGCCATAAATATCCAAGCAGTTCCCTCTTCTCTGGTTGGCACACTGCAAATCCCCTTCCCATGTTCTGTGGTACAGACTGTGAATCATCTGTGTGTGAATTCTTGTCCTTTGGAGAGGAAAGAAATCCACCAGTACTTCTCATCATCCCACAAAGAAGGAACTTGTGAATGTAAAGCAGCCCAGAAGATCATATTTGATGGTTTTATCATAAATCTCTTTACCTTAAAAGCCAGGCAATAGGCAAGCTAGTCATGTGTGATATTGGGCGACCCCTGGAAGTGCCTACATCCCGTTTGCTGGAAATTTGAGAAAACAGCCATTGCATTCCAAGCAAAACAGCCAGAGGTGTGTTGAGGCAGAATATAAACTATCACTTTGAACTAGAGGGTTTCTGTGAGGCATTAGAAGTTAAATTTTCAAGATCCCTGATAATAAAGGATAACACATTTTTCAAAGGCACAACAAAGCATCCTTTCAGGTCACCACTGATTTAAAAAGGTAAAATAAAGCAAAATAAAACTGGAATTTCCCGATTCTGTGTGTAAAAGGTCAACATCTGCTGATGCTCAGAGATGGGGGATGTGGCGGAAGCGGCCGAATGAGATGTGGAGTGAGCAGTACATTAAGAGGGTTCATGCAACACACAACACTCTGAACAGAAACACATCCCAACGCCAAAGAACTACTTTTCCATCCATCCATTTCTGAAATTTTTGACAGGCTAAATCATGTAGTCTGTCTTGGTTTACTTCCTTTTAGTTCCTTTTTGCTCTGTGGGACTTGTGTAAAGACAATTGTCAAAGCCTGAAAGGAGCAGGTTGTGGGGTATTCACACACTTAAGGCTCAAGTAGAAAAACTAGACCATCTGAACTACAGGTTTGTATTTGCAAGTTTGTAGAACTGATGCCTCTCCAGTTATATTACAGAGAATGTAGTAGCAAAAGGTTGGTATCTAAATGGATGTGAACACTGCTTCTGAGGGCAAAGTAGATGATTTTCATGGCATTTAACACATCTAGTGCTTAGCAAACTGGCGGTTGTCTCTATTCACAATCTTAAATAAACAGCTGATTTATAATTTGGAACACCTGACGGCACATATGTAAAAATCAAACTGTTTCATCCGATGTATCAAAGTGTTCATTGTTAGATGGTGTTGGGTATTGCCATTCTCCAACTGTTGCTATTTACATCGCAGTCACCCAGCTTGGCATAGCACCTATAATACTAGACTGTGATGGGTGGCACTGCAGTAAAAATTCTCTTGTGTTAGAATGCATTATTGCACTTCTGCAATGCTTTATGTTGTTTCAGTTATTCAAAAGTTATTGCAAGGTTTTACACATCAGGCATAAATGACCAATACGTGAAAAATATGTATAATTCTGCTCAAAAGAGTGATTAGGCAATTTCTTAATGGGCACTTCAGGGCTGATATCAGTAGGCCAAATCTAGAGTTGAAGAGGAGCTATAGTTTGTTTCTTTCATGACAGATAGGAGACTGTTCTTTGCAGTAATATTGGAAAAGTGGTAGACAGAGGGTCTAAAAGGGATGTAGCTTTAATTACTAGGATTTCTAATGAAAGATTTTTTGCAGAAATTTCTCGTATTCTGACTCAAATTTTGTAGGTATTTTTATATCTTTTCTCTATCACACTTAAACCTAACTGGTCATGAAGACATGGGTCACTATATTTCAGGAGAGAAAAAGGGACATACTGACGATCTTTATCGTCCATTCTTGCAAAGAGCCTCAAGATCACAACCTGCTTCTTTTAAGCCTTCCCCAAATCTAGAGTTGAATGCATTCGCAGATCTCCCTCCCCCTGGTTTCATGGCCTTTACCTTTGATCCTCATGAATATGTAGAAGACATTCATTGGCATTCATTTTCTGCTTTTCTAAATTATATTAGACATCCACATCTAGTCTTAGAGAGAGAGCTCAAGTTCTTTGTTGCTTATGAAGTATGGATGAGCAGACTATTCAATGTTTTTAATAAATGAGGTATTCTCACCTAAGTTATTGTACCTTTGTTTAGGTGGTCTTTATGGAACAAAAGTAGGCAGGAAAGCTGTGGTACCATGTCCACAGAAGAGTTAACACAAAAATAACTTTCATCTATGCACTTACCATTTCTGTGAAGGAAAACAACATACAAGTGCAATTCACAAAGAAAACACTCTATTACATCAGAAATGGACTCTGGGAAAATAGATCTGAGGAGATGAACAACAAAGCAACCTTAGCCTAGACTTGGTTTGGTGATTTTTTTTTTTTTTACTTACTACCAATACTGGAAATACTGGGGATACCTGTAGAGAAAAAGAACAATAAAGAAAGCAGTTAGCTGTGAATTATACAAGTTTAACTTAGTACAAAGCCTTCAGCAACTACATATGTGAAAACATTCAAGTCATCCAGAAATTAGCACAGCAAAAAATTAAATAAATATGTCCAGCCATTGAAACCATTTTGGTTTTATTCTGGAACTCTGAAGCTCCTTAGAGTTGGGAAGTTAATGCTCAAACAGCTGGTGTCAGGAACTCTTGTGACTGGCTTATACATTTTGTGGTTGCACATAAGGTTAATAAACATTTGTATGTGGTTCAAAACAAACACTGAGCTATGTCTATGTTCTGAGCGTAGAGTACCAAATGCACACTAAGCGGATCTATACAAATATAACCACATATGCAATAGATCTTTGAAAGTGTGTGATGTGGATGCTACCTGCTAAAAGTCAGTTGGCACTTTGATTAATTTCACATAGCCATCATTTTCATTACTCTTTTACCCATCAAATACTTGGATTAAACTCTGTAATAGAAACTTAATTGAGCAGAATAATTCAGGAATACATTAGGCTATTCATATTGATCATGGGCTTCATTGATTTTTCAGCTTTCATTTTAATTCACAAATGGTGCTAAGGTAGTGGAACCATTTCAGAGTGTGGCTGGACTCGGTAAAATGCAGATATGATTTTAGTCTCTATCCAGACTAAAACTCTCAGGATATAACATGGCGCTGCAGCCAAGAGCGGAGGCATGGGAGCCTGACTGATTTTGAAAGTTGTCTCTGAATCCTAAATTTTTTCTGTGCACTTGTGACAAGTTGGTTATTTTCTTGGTGGCAGTGGCTCAGTGCTCTACTTCTCAGAGTTGCTGCAAGGACAAAATAAATTGAAAAATGTAAGCACTTGGAGCATTGTATGAAACGGACTGGGTGCCATACCCATCTTTGTTTGATGGCTGTTATTGTTTTTATTTTAGCTGGTTCATCAAGCATTTCCAGTAAATACAAAATGCTAATTAAAAATCAAAGCTTTTTTTTATCTGTACCACTAAATTCAAGAAGCATAGGATGAGACTAATACACTGAAATTTGTGCTTCTTTACTAACTAGTTTGGTAATTTTAGGGAACTTCTCAATTTATTTCATTATTTGAACAGGTGCTAAAAATATCCACTGAATTAAGGTGGCTCTGAGGATTGAATGAGATAATCCATAAAAATGTCTGACACATGGTAGCTAGTCAATAAATGGTAGCTGCTAATGAGTTGTTCAGGCTTGTTTTCTCCATCATTGGAGTGTACTAACAGGTGGTAACTGTAAGAGTCAATAAACCTTGTATATTAGTCTTTATATTTGAACAACTGCCCTCTGCTTATATTAGCCAATCATTATAACTTATTCAGTGATTTCTAGCTTTGTATTTTTTAAATTGAAGAACTATTTTCATAATCTATAATGGGAAAAGGAAGGTGAGGAACTAAAGATTACTATAATTTTTGTAAATATTCCATGAAATGTCAATAAGATACATTTAAAAATCTTTGCTTTTGAGTGTTCAGAGTTTATAGTGATAACATTTAATTATCATCACAAATCAACCAAAACTGAAAGTTTTTGTTTTTTATGGAAGTTGTTTCCATATTTTTACCTTATTCTATGAGCTGAATTTCAAGCTGAATGCAATTTGTGCAAAGGACTACTGAATATCTGATTTAATTTTTTTAGCCACAGCAAGGCAGAGAATTGGTACTGAATTTTTACTTTTTCTTTCCTTTGCAAATTCCCTGTTGAGCGGGGTATGATGACAATACCATAATTTTAGTATCAATTGCAGGAGCTCCAATTTCCCCATGATTGAAAACCCCACTCCTGTGCAAGGAACTACTTGCCTGTTGTAATCCATCAATGTGAATGTAAGTTAGTGAAAAAAGACTTTTCACATGTCTGGAAATGTATTTGGAATAAAGGAACCGTGTATAATGCCAGCGCTTCTGGCCAGACACAGTGGAGGGCAACCAGCAAGACTGTATGATGCAGTACTTCCTGCAGTTGAATACTTGAGAAAAATGCAGAAATGTTTCTATTTCCATGGGGATACAGTACAGGAAAACAGTGTTCATTCCAATTACGCAAACCTTGCCAAACAAAGCTTTGATGAGATTTTTTTCTGTAGGATGGCTTGCTTAGCACTGGATGCTTAAAGTTCAAGTTCTTCCTCATCTTGTGGCTTATACCCTTTTTGACAGGGCTGCCAGATGAGTTACTTTCTGTTCTGCAATTGCGAAATGTAAATTGCTTGGGAAAGATTTTTAAATTTCTCATTTAAGATCTTTGAAACTGAAAATTTTTGAATACCCATGAATGTTCATTGTATTTTTAAAATGCCCTATATGTCCTAATTAATCTTACGTTAATATCCAAATACTTGTTTTAGGTTCTTTTCAGACAGCTTAAGAAATCCATTACACCATAACGAAGCCATAAGAAATGACTCAAACACTCAAGGAAACAAGACAGGAAGGCCTAGAAATGAGTTGCAATGATTCATTTCATGAAGAGGAAGGTGTCTTTGGTGTCTGTGGGGAATGAATCCATCAGTGTTGTTCTGTCGTATCATACTGACTGTGCCCATATGCCATAGGAACTGGGGTCACAGTGTACTCAGGGAGACAGTCTAGGCAAAGGCTGTTCAATTTTTCTTTATATTTCCTATGAAGTGACAATTGTTGCAGTATTTTACCTTGAAGTCTGAGTCAGATAATGTTCTTCTTTTCCTTTTCCACATTTCTGATGTTAACTGCTTTCATCCCACAATGCTTGATGCAGGCCTCTCTGAAGGACTTATCAAGTAGGCTTTATAATTATTTGCATACTCTCCTAAGGGCTCAAGGGAATACAATCCCCAATCTTCTTTTCTATATCTTTAGTGTCTGCCTGGGACAATGCCAAATACACAACACTTGTTTTAATGAGTATTTGAGCAAAAATGTATTACTGATTTCCATGAAGATTTGCATCATGAGAATATCATTTTGGGCATGATATAGTATGGTTTTACCCTTATAAAATATTCCACTAAAGTTGCTTATCAGAGTTCTAGATTAGTGAATGTTTTAGTTGTCTTAGAATACTTCCTCTGTCCTGAGAGAAAAAGTAATACACTATAAAGATTTCCCTCACTGCTTTTCTTTCCGGAAACGCAAAATTCAGAGCTCAACTTGAAGATCAGCTGGGAAAACTGTGCATTTAGGATTTGGCTATACTTTCTGGTTTTTTTAAAATATATTTATTCCTTTCTTTTAAAATAATTATTCATTTAATTTACTCTTATTTATTTGAAATGCAGAGTGACAGAGAAGTGAGCGATGGGCATAAGAAGAAAGAAGAGGAGGAGAAGGATAAAAAAAGTAGAAGGGAGGAAGATGAAAAAGAACAAGAAGAAAGAGAGACACAGAGACATCCAAAGACCTTTCTCTGTTTTCTAGACAGCTGCAATGACCTGGCTGAAGCCAAGTCTTGGGGTACCTTCTGCTATTTCCCAGGCGTACCAGAAGGAAACCAGATCAGAAGTTGAACAGCTTAGACCTCAACTGGTACTCTGATGTGAGGATGCTGGCATTACAAGAAGTGGCTTAAGCCACTATGCCATAATGTTGATATCCACAGATCTTTATTTTAGACTTCTGTTTAATTTTCTTATCTCTATTTGCTTTTTTTCCCCAAGCTACCTTAAGGTAAGTAAAGATTTTTTAAGGGTTAATATGTCTATATGGATATAGATATATATACAAATATAAAAACATATATAAAGAGCCACATTTCAGAAAAAATCTAAATATAAAAATAGGTATGAAACTGGAATTTTCATTTAATTCAGAATGAGTCCAGTGGGGAGCCCTGAAGTGTAAGCTTCATTGGTTCACTTTGCCCTCTGGAACAACTTCAAAATCACTTGGGCAAGATAAGTAGATAAGAGTTATTTTTTTGAAAAAAGAAGAAAATAAGAGAAGATAATAGATAAGCTAATTCACAAAAGTGATGTAAAATTGAGCACTGAACAGGATTTTAAAAGTCATTTTATCCTGTTCTTCCACTTCACAGAGGAGACATAAAGATATGTGAGTGCCTTGTCCTAGCTGACCTTTTTCTACTCAGGACCAGAGCATGTAATTTCTAGTCCCTGACTATCTTATAAACTCACACTGATGAAATGATGCACAGTGTGCAGAAGTTGCCCAAAGGTTTCTGTGGTACACTATGTGACTTTAGTGCTAATGCTTCTTCTAGGACAGAAATGTCACTGAAATGTGATAAATATGCCATATTGTATGAGCCACAGGGCATTATACTACCACCATGTGCCAGAATAAGATGCTTGGTGTCTCCTTCATCAGCCCTTCCTATTGTAACATTAATTTCAATGTTTGCTTTAAAGGAGTTCTGTTGTTATTAGAGATAAAAGGACTATTAGATTACATAATAATATGATATTTCCTATTTTAAAGTTTTAGTATACCCCTTTTCCAAAGTAAATCGCAAAAGAGTACACGGTTAAGTGAGTCAAAACGATGGAGATATCAAAAATGAATAGCCTGGTCATCAGAAGCCGATTAATGCAGTGCTCAAAGCTATAACTCCTTTGGAGAATCAATGGAAGGTTCAACAGCTTTTCAACAGGAAGGAAGCAGAAGGGATAGACTTCAGGATGCTTCAAGAAGGAGAGGTGAAATTACAATTGTCGTAATCAATGGCTTGAAAAAACCCTATCAGGTAGGTGATAGGATCTTCTTACACAGCCAGACTGAAGCCATTGGGAGCTGTAAACTCCAAAAATGCCAATTGAAGATGAGAGAGGTGATGGGTAAGAAAACATGCATCAGACTTGTTTGTATTCTGAAAGAATTATTTCCAAAGTCTTTCATCCCTGGTTGCTGGCCCAAACTGCTGTTGATAGGATATATGATGAGTTGTTTCTCAGGAATTGGAAAGTGAGGGAAATAAGAGTGTTTTCCCCAAT